CTGCCGCAGTTCACCAGGTGGGCGGGAGTTGGAAAATCGGGGGGGGAAAGAGGGGAAAAAAGCAGGAGAATGTGAGGGGGAAAGGGAGGAAAACGTGAGGGGAAAGGGCGGGAAAACGTGAGGGGAGAAAAGAGTGGGAAAACGTGAGGGGAGAAAAGAGCGGGAAAACGTGAGGGGAAAAGAGCAGGAAAACGTGAGGGGAAAAGGGAGGAAAAATGTGAGGGAAAAGCGAGGAAAACATGAGGGGAAAAGGGAGGGAAAACGTGAAGAAAAACGTGAGGGAAAAGGGAGGGAAAACGTGAGGGGAAAAGAGCAGGAAAACGTGAGGGGGAAAGGGAGGGAAGAGGGAAAACGTGAGGGAATTGAACGAGAAAACATGAGGGGAAAAGAGCAGGAAAACATGAGGGGAGAAAAGAGCGGGAAAACGTGAGGGGAGAAAAGAGCGGGAAAACGTGAGGGGAAAAGAGTGGGAAAAGGTGAGGGGAAAAGAGCGAGAACCCCGAGGGCCTGGGGTGTTTTTGGGTGTCCCCCATGTTGAGCTCTCCCTGATGCAGCCCCGAGCTGGAGGAGCCCTACAGCAGCGAGGAGGAGCAGCAGCGGCTCTTCGACCTGTACCATTACCTGCACGGCCGCGTGCACAGCCCGCAGCGGCCCCTGCGCCTGCTCTACCACGTGGCCGAGAAGGAAACGCTCCTGGCCTGGGTGAGGAGGGGGCAAGGAGCCCGCACAGGGGCCCAGGGGCAGCAGGGAGGGGTTGGGATGTGGCCGGGAGTTTTTGGGGTTGGCGGGTGTCGCTGGATGGTGGCACCGTTAGAGCCCGCAATTAATTAATTAGCGGGGTTAACCTGTAGACCACACAATTAATGGGTTGTGGTGTCATCTGTGGATCACACAATTAGCAGGATGGATGGTCAATCAGTGGTGGTGCCGTCGTTAGAGGTGCAATTAATTAACGGGATGTGGTGTCACCTGTGGATCACACAATTAATTAACGGGATGTGGTGTCACCTGTGGATCACACAATTAATTAACGGGGTGTGGTGTCACCTGTAGATCACACAATTAATTAACGGGGTGTGGTGTCACCTGTGGATCACACAATTAATGGGTTGTGGTGTCACCTGTAGATCACACAATTAATTAACTGGATGTGGTGTCACCTGTGGATCACACAATTAATTAACGGGATGTGGTGTCACCTGTAGATCACACAATTAATTAACGGGATGTGGTGTCACCTGTAGGTCACACAATTAAAGGGAAACTCACTGCTGGTGCCATCAGGAAATCCCACAATTAAAAGGATGCAGTGTCATCAATAAATCCCACAATTAACGGAATGGCTACCATCAATAAATCCCACAATTAAGGGGATGGCTACCATCAATAAATCCCACAATTAATGGGATGGCTACCATCAATAAATCCCACAATTAATGGGATGGCTACCATCAATAAATCCCACAATTAACGGGATGGGTGCCATCAATAAATCCCACAATTAACGGGATGGGTACCATCAATAAATCCCACAATTAACGGGATGGCTACCATAAATAAATCCCACAATTAACGGGATGGCTACCATCAATAAATCCCACAATTAAGGGGATGGCTACCATCAATAAATCCCACAATTAACGGGATGGGTGCCATCAATAAATCCCAATTATCGATGTCTCCTCACCCACCGGCGGTGCCACCAGCAGTTCCCCACGGTGACAGACGTGGCTCCCCACAGGTGACCAGCAAGTTCGAGCTGTACAGCTGCTTCAGCCCGCTGGTGACCAAGGCGGGCGCCATCGCCGTGCTGACCAAGCTGCTGCGCTGGCTCAAGAAGGAGGAGGACTGGCTCTTCATCCGCTACCCGGCCCCGTTCTGCGCCGCGCCCGCGCGACCCGAGGCGCCCGAAACCGAGGGCTGACAATAAACGCTGAGAGCCCGGCCAGACTCACGAGTCCCGGGGGGAAAAGGGGGGAAAAAGGGAAGAGAAAATGAGAGGGAAAATGGGGAGGGGAAAGGGAAGAGAAAATGAGAGGGGAAATGGGGAGGGAAAATGGGGGGGAAAAAGGGAAGAGAAAATGAGAGGGGAAAAGGGAAGAGAAAATGAGAGGGGAAAAGGGAAGAGAAAATGAGCTGGGAAATGGGGAGGGAAAATGGGGGGGAAAAAGGGAAGAGAAAATGAGAGGGGAAATGGGAAGAGAAAATGAGAGGGGAAATGGGGAGGGAAAAGG